CCCGACCACCAGCGGGTGCGCAGTGTCGGAAGTCGGGCTGGCGGAGTTGGGCCAGGCAGCGATCGGGCAGGCGCGGCTCACCTCTCGGGCGAGGCGGCACACACTAGACTTTATGGCCGCGCGAGGCTCCGAGCTCTCGTCAACCAACATCTGGCAAACGTTTTGACAACCTTCATATTTGCAAGACCTCGGTCCCGATTGCTGTGCATCTACGGAGGTTTTACTGTATATAGGTATAATGAGCACGAAGGTCTTCGTGCGCATACCTCTCAAGGTGCCCTTACACTCAGCCTGTCCGCTGTATCCGCATTGATGTTAAACCGTTTTCAGATATGGTTTTTATTACCAAACGTTAGAAAATGTGTCCAGGATATACGGTCGTACATTTGATTAGAATTTCTGCCTGAAACATCAACGGAAAATAGAAAACGGACACAGCCGGACACGTCCGCGGACACCGAATACGCTGAGTGTAAGGGCACCTTCAGGCAGCAATGCACACGCAGGCCTGCGCGTATTTTTTAAGGGAAAAATGTGCACGACTCGTTCGCATACGCATAATATTAGGCATTAGGGGTTTTTTTTTTGGGGGGGGGGGGGGGGCATTGTATTAGTTAAGATGCGTCCATGCGTCCATGCCCTTTCGGCTGTCAGGGATTATGTGAGAACAGTTCCTTGCCTTATGCTTCCACCCTGAAGGCTTCGGATGGTCGGGTCGGATTAAGCTGACTCTGGCCGCCGGCATTGTGGCCCTTGTGGCCACAAGTTTGTGGCCACAAATAATATGGTCTGCCGCGTCCGGAGCGCGGGGTATCGACTGCAGGCCAGTGGTGGAGCTACCCCGCGCCGCGGAGACTGCAGGCCAGTCCGACGCGGTGGTGGAGCTACCCCACGCACGGCAGGGCAGCCGAGTCGAGTTCTCAACCCCCCAGCACTCCGCGCTCTGCCTCGCTCTCGCTCCGAAAGTATTCATCGCAGAGCGACAATAAAAACACACCTGAGCAGTAAAAGGATGTGTGCAGGCCATATAGTCGGTCAGAAAGCGGAAAGGTCTCATCCTCTCCTCGTTACGGATAACTTACAATTGGGCCGTTTTAGAACACAGTTTTCGACATTTCAGACAGTCCCTTGTGGTCTGTCTCTACCCGAAGGTGAAAGTTTCCCGTTTTGATAAATATTGCCGGTTATCGTTATCCAGTTTTTATAAAGATTGCCGATTGACGTTCCAGTGCCAGTTTTTTTTTTTTTTTTTGTTTTTTTGTCATGACATAAATCTCAGGGACCATGTGGCCTCTGGGCATTCTTCCCCATCCTTCCCCTTTAGGATTTTAGTCGTAGATGACCGATCTGACTTTTTTGCAGATGATACCTTACAACCTTACACTTACACATATAAACATAACTATACATGAGTAATGTAAGGTGTCATTGCTTCAACTCTCGATTAAGAAATATTAAAGAGAACCAGAAGAAAGCTCATATACATATTGTGCTAGGCCTGCTAGGAGGGGTCGTGAAGCGGCTGGCGTACGTCTCCGTTGAGTCAGCCACGCTACGCCCGCCACTCGGGGCTCGGCAACAACGCGTGGCGTGGCGGGCGTACGTCCCTGTTTGTAGCTGCACGATTTTAGCTACAGCCGACAGTGCCCGAGTTAGCTTAAACTGAACCGTCTATAGACGAATTCATTACTTCCGCCAATGCTAGAATATCAACCAGAAGTAAACAGCGCTAAGAACTAAGCGAAAACGAAAGATATCAATGCCTCTCCGAAGCTGTCGCCTTGTCCAAGAAGCGCTCGGAGGGACAGGGGGCCGCGGGCGCGGGGGCCCGATTCAGGAAAGCATTGCCTACCCTCCAGGCGTTTTCAGCGTCAATCATCGACCCACGCCTAGATTGACGCGTCGAGGAGGTGGACTTGACCCGACCTGAACGCGTGCTATACGGTAGATCAACACCCGTAAAGAACGACACGGTCTCACCAACAGCAGTCAATGGCCGAGTGGGATAAGGCGTAGACATCTTGCAGCAGTGGCGGGGAATCGACTCCCGGTCGGGGCGAGCATACTGCGAACCTTTTCGAACACCAATTTTACAACAACAACAACAACAACAACAAAAAACAAAAAAAAACAGGCAAGTTGCGTTGATGCGTGTGCTTCGGCCCCGGATCGAATCCAGGCCTTGGCTGAATAGTAGAAGGTTAATTCCAGGTGGCCTGTAGAGACATAGGCAGAAGCGGACGAAAGCTCAGCACCAGCAGTCAGTGGCCGAGTGGGTTAAGGCGTCTACGACTGAGCGCTTCGGTGTGGGAACGACTCGCACCCGAAGCGGGCGGTCCACGATTTTTCTCGCTCCTCCGATCTCCATTACTAAGGGGCGAAAGCACATACAAGACTTTCGCAGCAATGGACCATATCGTGGGGCCGTAGCTCAGTCGGGAAAGCGCCAGCCTGGGAAACCGATGGTCGCTGGTTCAAATACCGTCCGCGGAACATTTTCCCCTTTTTTCCGGCATCCGAATGAACTGACTAGGCTTGCAGCAAGACGAGGAGGTGAACTCGACCTACCACCTACTCAGCAGGTCCCCCTAAAAAGTTCGCTAGGAACACGACTCGATCCCTCGCCCGGCGGTGTCCGGATCAAGAATTGGTATGCTCGCCACTCGGCTGTCGGCTTAACCTGTCGAAGGCGAGTTCACAACTCGGCCCCGCTTCCCGCTATACGAATCCTTGGACTACCGTGAGGCAGCCCGAGCCCCCTTCCCCACAAGTGTAAATACAGAAATATAATAGACTGGAATAGAATATTTCTTGACAAGGTATCATCTGCTTTCACGATCCGTTTCTGGTCGTAACTTTTTTTGAGTCCAATGAAAGTTACAATAGCAGACGGTGTTTTTGCCAATTTTAACGTTCAATGTCTCAGGTTCCTTTGGAGTCAGAGATCTCAGGCCTCATATTTAAAGTTACTTTGTGGTACAGAACAACCAGGTAAAATTTCGTGAAATTTCATCCAAATTGGTCATTTTTTTCAGAAAGGTTCCCCCTTAACGCGCAGATCCTTACATTTATACACTGTGAAAAATTGCCGTACCAGGTAAATTAAAATTCGTTCGTCATCCGCGTTTAAAATTGTTTTCTTAATTTTTTTAACATGTTCACATATTTTTCCTACCTTACGGACCCTGTGAATTTTTCAACCGGTATCCCTATTTTCTCCAAAAACTGAAACCAGTGGGCACCACGTTACATTTTCGGCCTCTGGCCGCAATTTCTCATATTTTGAACCATATTTTCGGCGTTTCCCAGAATGAAGATTTTAAAAAGGCAAGACGTACCTATAATAGATAATTCATTAATTTTTATTGGTCTGTCCCCTAAAGAGCTCGGAAGTACCGTGGGATACGCGGTGCATAGTCGAAGGACCTGGAAATCTTCACTCCCTGACAGCCAGCGAATGTTGAGAAGTTCCCTGTCGATGTTGCGATCAGTCTGCAGAAACTACTACTAGGGGACAGCGACATGGCCAACCCACCTCCCCGAAACTCGTTTTCTTTTGCCCTCCGTTCTAACTTCACGGCTCGTGTCACGTGACCGGCTGGTTTGCTAAAGAAAACCCGTCAAAGTTAAATTTCTGCAGTTTTTAAACTTTCCAAAGCGGATAAAAGGAAGTAGTTGTTTAACCTTTCCATTAAATTTATTGACAAATTCTACACAATATTTTACAACAACAGTTTGTGTCAACATCTGTTGCCACAAGAAAATACAATCTGACATCTTTGGAAGGAAAGTACATAAATAAGTACAAGTGTTGTAACACAATTCACAATAACATGATGATTTAATTTAAGGTTTCAGTTCTTTGAATTGCCCATGAGGAAAATCCACTGGCCTTTGTATTGTAAACAGTGGACAAGCCTCATGGATAAGTCCTTGGACTAACATCTTTCATACACTGATGAATAACAGAAACGCTCTGCAGAAATGCCAGCGGACAAATAACAAGTCATAAAGGCAACAATAGATAGTATCCACCACATTGCACAAACAGCGGCTCGATTCACCCTTTTCAAAACTGATTACGGCTGTCCCTTTTTTTAAAATCAAAAAGGCCCCAAATCAGCTATGCATAGTCCCGTCACAGAGCTAGCCATGTTCTTTTAATTGAAACGAACTAAGGCAAACATGGTGCTCATTGTCCTTAAGTGTCTGTGCTGTAGTAACAAGACATGCTTTGCGTTTCACATTGAATTGATTTGGTGTAGGGTTAGTTCACGAAGTGACGGGACCACAGATCGAGCGCAGATGCCCGATGCAACGGTCAGCGCCCGTCTCCCGCCGCCAAGTCCAAGCCGTCTCCCAGGCGGCCAGCCTGGCAGCGAGACGGCTGCTGATCAGGATATCACGCAGTTCTTGTCGTGCGGGCCGAGCGGGTGCGCGTGCGCGTGCGGGGGGGCGCTAGTGGGCGCGCCGGCAGGCTGGCCGCCAGGTTTCTTCAAGGGGGAGCGGGGCAGGGCTGCGCCAGCTGCGCTGTTGGCCGCGGCGTGCTGCCGCTGCCGGGCGCAGGCCAGGGCGTCGTTGGGCACGTACGAGATGCGCACACCGCCGTACGCCCGTCGCGGGGGCAGCTGGTACGCCTCCGACTCGTCGCTGGATGAGCTGGACGAGCACGTGGAACAGTAGCTGTCCTCGTCGTACTCCCGGCTGTGGCGGGCCCGCCGCGCGCGCCTGGACTCGGCGCGCCGCTCCCTCGCAGCCGCCCACGCCGCCGTCGAGGCCCCCGGCGACTTGGCGTCGGCCGTGGGACTGTTGCAGTCGTTGCCGTCCTCAAAGCGCACGCTGAGCTGACCGCGATTCTTAGCCTTAGAGGTGGAAGGCTGCTGAGGCTGCTTGTCGGGATGCGGCGCGGGCGGCGATGGCGTGACGTGCGATGGACTGTTCGCAGGGCTGTTTGCTGGGCTGTTTGCTGGGCTATTCGCAGAGCTGTTTGCAGAGCTATTCGCCGGGCTGTTTGACGCACAGCTGCTCTGACTGCGCGTCGGGCTCGGCCGGGGACTCGTGGGACCGTCGGGGGTGTCCGGCGTGCACGGCGACGCCGGCGAGCTGGTGTGGCCGTGGGGAGGGGGTGGTGGGGGTGGCAGTGGCGGCGGCGTGGACGCGCCGTCCAGTTCGGGCATGGAGGACGCGCCGTCCTGTCGCACTGGTGCCAGGGCCTCACTAAAGGGCTGCCACGAGTCCAGGGACAGGCTCAGCTCGGCGAGGTTGGCGAGGTGCAGGGGCTGCCTGCAGCGGTCCCGCGCGCTCAGCAGCCTCTCCAGCTCAGGGGAGAGTGAGCCCAGCGAGCCCAGACCGCCCATGGCCCCTAAGGCCGCTAGCTGGTCCAGGTTGACGGTGGGCCCGCTCGCTCCGCCAGGCCCTATGTGACGGTCCGACAGTAGCCTCTCGAGATTGCGCTCCAGCAGGACCCTGTCCAGTCCCTTGGGGGAGGTGCCGCTCGGGGCTGCTGGCAGGCCCCTCACCACCAGCTCCTCGACCACGGTCGTCACCGTCTCCGTCAGCAGCTCTGGGCTGGGGCTAGCGGCGTCGCTGCTGCTGCTGGCCGACGCCCTCTCGAGGCTCTTGGTGTGCGACGGCCTCTGCTGCTGCAGCGCGCGCCGGCCCATCTTGGGGGAGCGCGAGGGCTGCGGGCTGAGCTGGGGCGCGGGGGCCACGTGCAGGCCCATGCCGGGCTGGTAGGGCATGAGCAGCGAGTGCGACGGCGAGCCCCGGGGCGACACACGCGGGGACGTGCCGTGCGTCATGCTGGGCGGACCGCTGCACGTCCCGTTGTGGGGGATGATCACGGTGGGCGGCAGCGGGTGCTGAACGCTGTGGACAGGAGACACGTCGTTAGCATCTGGCATAGCGTGATTAAGCTAGGGCAACCCCCTCCTTCCCTTCCAACTGCAACTGATTGTCACTCACCTTAGGTTCCTGGTGATCCTGCTGCCGTTGGAGCCGGCAGGATGGCTGGCAGGGCCGTGCGCCGGGCTGGAGGGGGAAGACGGCGCCGACGACGGCGGGCACGACGTGGCGGGGGAAGGAGCCGGGGGCAGGGCGGTGTGCTGGTGTTGTCCCCGCCGCGTCCTGCTGGGCGAGGCCGGCGGCGTGGAGGACCCCGCGTCCGAGGGCGGCCGGTGGGCGGCGGCACGGCTGCGGGGCGGCCTCCTACCACTGGGGGGCGGCAGTGGCGGTGGCGGGCCGTGCGGCGGCTGCAGGGCACCGGGGCCCGGGGACGCCGCCGCCGCCGGCGCGCTGCCGTCACTCGGCGTGGGCGGCTCCCCTTTGGAGCAGGCGATGGAGCAGTAGATGGCGCCGCGCCTCGGCAGGAAGGGCCGGCCGAGTAGCGAGCCACGGCACGTATTGCAGCAGAAGCACAGCTCCGTGGCGTGCCAGTGCTGGCCGTCGTGGCTCATCTGGCCCTGGTCCACGCCGATCTGCTCGCCGCACGAGTCGCAGTACTCGGCGAACATGGCGTCAAAGCAGTGCAGGCAGTAGGGCCTCGTGTCGCGCATAATGTACCTCTGGCCACCCAGCTGCGCCTGGCACTCTGCGCACGCGAAGTGCTTGAGGTGCCACGCGCGGCCCTCCGCCTCTGTGCACTCGTCCGCCAGGATGATCTGAAACACCAATATGAGTTAGTGCGGTGCCAAAAACTTGTCGGCGGGGAGAGAGGGGGTTCAGAAGGAAATTTCGTGAGTTGTGAGTGAATATGAATAATCGTGAATACAAATTTAAATTTGGATTTAATACTTGAAACTCTGATGAATTTAAATGAATGGTTGTGAATATTAGAGAATATCGGCTATAAAGTGCTGAATATTAAGTTTTGTTAGACCCGTGAATATATCCCAAGTTGTGAGGCCATCGAGGTCCGGGTCGGGCACTCACCTCATCGCAGGCGGAGCAGCGCGGCTTGAGGGTCTCCGCGTGGTGGCGCCCGCAGTACAGGCGCCCGTCCTTGTAGAAGTAGATGAGGTCGACGAGCAGGTGCCGGCACGTGCAGCAGGCGAAGCAGGCCGGGTGCCAGGCCGCGTTGGGCCCCGCCCGGGACGCGAACACCGCCATGTCGCCCACGCCCAGAGGCTCGGTGCACTGTGAACAGAAAACAAAATTATAGTCGAATTGTATAACACTTTATGTACGTTAGGAAGTTGGTGTCGAGGCGGTGCCGCCGGATTTCGCCGCAATACCCTCTTCGAACAATAACATTAACAAGCAGATGGAAAACGGGAAATTCACAGTATTTTTGTCCCTTGTTTGCGACGCAAAGAGAGGTTGAGTGGATTATGGGAAAGCAAATCGCAATGTTTATATTTGTGTCAGAACTGTCTCTGACTTGAGAGATGCCCAAAAGGCGCGTAATTATTGCAATATTTCACTTTTCAATTCAGTAACGGAATAAAATCTCAATCAAGAATCGATCTTGAAAGCAGATGACACAAATTTAAGGATAGGTTTGTGTCCTAATTTTCTCTCACATTTAGCTGTCATTTGTTTATGGCTGTTTGTTAATTGCTATCTTAAAATTCGGCGAACTAGCGGCATAGAGGAGGAGATCGGGAAACTGCTGGATAATATAAGGGCGAGAGTGTGAGCAAGGAGGAGAATCCACCCAGCCCTCGCCTCGCAACCTCGCAACCCCACACCCCGGTTGATTCCAAGACGCTCCCCCCTCGACGCGCCGCCGTTCAAGTACCAGAACGCTCAATTTTTCTTTCTTCTGCCAAGCGGAAGGGCAGCCCAATGCAAATACCCTGGAGGGGCTAATAACTCGTAGTCGCCAGACCAGGACAGGGCGAGCCAGAGGACACAGGGCTCTCGACAATATTGTTCCTCCGTCCTTCCTCCAGGGAGGCACTCCTCGGCCTCGGCGGAGGAAAAGAGGAGTGGGGGAGAGAGGAAGGGGCTGCTTTACTTTTCCGGGGCCCCACGGACAATTTCACTCGAGTCTGACGAACAATGGAAACCGCGGCCTCGGCCACCTCGGCACGGGAGCCACTCGGGCCCCACCCCGGGCCCGGGCCCAGCCACCCCCGCTCCTCTCCTCACTGCGCGGTATCATTTGGCGTGGCCGAGAATTAGGGGATGGGGGGCGTGCTCACGAGCAGCACCCCCGCGTGTCTTAATTACTTTCTCCGACTGTTCCATTTAAAAGCAATTGAGAAAACATCTCCCGGCGGGGTGTTTCCGTTTCCACCACGGCGAAGGACCGGCGGTGCCGTCTTTAAAACCACCAAGCCTTGAACAAACGACACCCCCCCCCCCCCCCCAGGCCAAAAAAAAGCACGTCCTCTTCCTGATACGATTTTTGAGGCTATTTTATTTTTGTTTTAGTTCCTGTTCCTGAAAGCTTGTCCAGCTAGAACACTGTTTTGCTAAACTTCGCCTTGTGATCGGTGAGTCGAGTTCAGGTCTATTTGGACCAAAGCGGATGGTTTCCTGGAAGGACTCCCACCCTATCCCCTTCTCAGCACGGGGTAGTGCTGGGGCGACGCCGGACGGGGCACGGGGGTTGGAGGGGCGAGGGGGACGGGGATTCCTTTGAATTCCTCGGCTGTAGCAAAACATATTAAAGAAATGCCTCTCAAACAGTTCTAAACATGACGGCACGCCTTCAACGCCCTGGCACAGCCACGCCACCCCACCCCACGGGAAAGGCCCGTCGCGCTTCCCCCGGTGCTGGCAAAAGACACCGAGGGAAAAAAAAAGATTGTCGACAGGGAAAAGAAAAGAGACTGCGTATACAGCTTACAGTAATGTACGTCCGACACAGACAGACGCACACACAAGTCAGTCGGCGGGCGCGCGCCCTAAGGGAGGCAGATAGGCCCCTCTGTTCCAGGGAGAGAGAGGGGGGGAGGGGAGGGAGG